ATGTCACTTTAAACTGACTGACATTTTACTTCACTAGCCAGCACTTTCTTGCTCTAACCCCACCCCAAATGTGTTTCCAAGGCCTAGCATTTCCTCCTCCTCTCCTATTGCTTTTCACAGGCTCTCATTTGCTGCAGCTCATCAATATTCCATTCCATATTTCAAAACACCAGAGAACAAGAAAGCAGTTGGGTTTGTTGTTCTTTCCCCAGGGCTTCCTAAGGACAACACTGTTTGCTGTGACCAAAAGGGAACTCAGCCAGTGGCCTGCAGACTAAATCCCTGGGAGAAGAAGGCCACTCTCCATGCAAGACTTTGGGCAGACTCACAGCACATTTCCAATGGACAGTGTAAACCAAGGCAATCCTCCTGCAGGCCAGGGTGTAGGCAGACAGACCCAACAGGCTCACTGGCACCCGATAAAGACAAGGGGAATCCACAGGGGTTCCCTGGCTGCATTTAGTTATGGACCAAGGATATCTGCAAGCAACTGACAAAAGCAAGTCTGTGGCAGTCAGGGGACATTAATTGCAAGTAATTTCTTAATGTCCTTCTCCAAATCTTCATGAATGATAGCCATTTTGCAAATGAAATCTTTCAGGTGTTTAAAGGAAAAAAAAGTAGACAGGTTAATCACTAGATTAACAGGGCAATTGTTACATGTTTCTTCTGCACTGCTAGGTTCTATAATTAAGTCTGAAATCGAGGATTCTTTCCCAGTGTATATTCAAGTTTAATAAAAAGACAAATGGCCTTTGTCTAAATAAAATATAACTCCAAATAACATGATGACACATGCTAATTATTGATGGGTTCTTCCAAAAGAGATCTCTTCTAAGAGATTGCTATCTATCGAGGAATATAGTTTGAAAGTAAAAGAAGTGCTGATTATACAATATTCCCTTCATTGAATATTTATGTTATTATTATGATGATTGTTAGGAAATCTTAACGACATCATTTGCAAATGTTTCTGTCTATATAATCTTTTTATTTTTAATGCATCCTTATCCTTATCTAAGTAGGTTTCTTCCCACTATGGTCTCCTGGGGAACAGCAACATTGATACTGAAGTATTTCTATCTACTCTTGTTTCACATTATTGTAAAACAGAACAAGGAAGCAAAACTTTGGTCCTTTTAGGAAGTTATGTTTATTACTAAATTATCAATGCTACTGATCCATAAAGAACACTATAAATTTGAGATCTGAACAAGGAAAGAAAACAATCATCCTTTACATTGCCTGTGTTAGCCATTTGTCTTGAGTTTTGATTTCCTGCCTTATTTTTGGACATTAGTTTAGACAATAGGATATTTCCAATGCAAAAGGAAAAAGATCAAACACAAGTTGTTTGGAAATGACTACTATTTGTGGTCTTGTTTGTTACTCTTCTTTTTATAGGGATAATGGTTACAAGGCATTACTCCCTTATGAAAGAATATTTTTTAAGTGTCTGTTATTGTATAAATTAAAACTCGTATTAGCAAGTTGGACTGAATATCTCTGCATCTCTTGCAAAACCACAAAGAAGTCTCCGCAACTTTCCAACTCCTAGGCAAATCTCTAGGCTAGAAATGTTCTCAAGTCCTTCTCTCTGTGGCCTCAAAAAGGGGCTGGGAAAAGAGTGGATTACTAGTCCCCTGCAAAGTCTCTAGTGCATCAAATAATGAGATTGACATTCTATTGCTCATCCAATGCCCATGGACTATATAAGTATTTTTCTTACCCACTGTTTCAAAAACTTTTGAGCCAGCAATTGAGCCTTTGGGGGATAAGGATTCTACAAAATATATTACGAATTAATACTGTACACTTCTTAGAGCAACATCGTGAAATGTGTAAATCAGTAGTTAGATTCCTTAAGCGAATACAGCTGTGATTCATGGTCCTCTCCTAGCACTGTTTAGTGGCATTTTGAGGAAAGCCTACATACTTGTAGCAATTCAAACAACTCCTCAAATAAAAATTTAAATTCAGTTGTAAAATATAATCTACATATTATAAAGGGTTAATTTGGTTTCAATCCATCCCACCTTACTTCATAGAGACAGGGTTTATGAGAATATGTACAGGGCATTTTTCAACCTACCCCATTAAACAAACACAGAGACCCAAAGAGAAATGAAGCTTTGAGAAGAAAACAAAATTTAAAGAGCCCATTTTCAGTGGGCCATCATTTTGAGAGTTGGGCTATTTTCGTCCCTGTTTTTAGCAGCATATCGATTCCTGCCTCTATGCTGAAGCATTTGTGAAGAGGAAAGCACGGGGACCACAGGCACAGCTGTCCAATTTACATTCACAAATGCAGGTGTTGCTCAGACACAAAACAGAGGTCAGCTGAATACGGCTCCTAATTAGCTACCTTTTCTACTAGGATTTTTCTTTGTAAAGTTATGCATGCAATTTGGGTTCAACTTAGAGACCGTTTTTAGATCTCAGCATGCTATCCAGCAAGAAATGGGCTGTCATTATAAAGCATAATTTACAGCATAGTTAATTTTATGTGTTTTTTTTAAATCTACACTATACCTTAGGCAAAATTCTGTCCTGCATACACATTATTCACTGTTTTCTAACCACTTCTCAATATTTAAAAGCGTAGAATTTAGCGAGAAAAATCTAGGAAGAATTTTGCCCTTTTTCTAAGATTAAGAAAGTCCACAACTTTAATTACAAGGACAAAGGACTTTGTTAAATGACACAAGAAGAGAAGTAGCCATTTGCTATTGTCTTCAGTGGAGAACACCCTGGGGCTTATTACAGCAGTTCTTAGAAATGGCAGGATGGAGACCGGTATCTAATACAATCCATTAGGAAACCCAAGCCCTAAATGAAATGACCACAAAATCCTATCAGTTAACAGAAATGTAGCAGCTGTACATGTTTATTGTACTACAATATAATATTGTTGCAGAGATAACAGTCTTAAAATTTTTAAAAATAATAATAATCCAGCAGGTGATGTGACCAGTTTATTTCTCTATTTGAAAAAAATGAGAAGGTATAGTATGGCAGAGCTTTGGAATACATAAATAAGGGTGAAGATTGCAGAGAAGACAGGTATTGTATGTACACTAAAGGGCTGCTGGGATCAGCCGGCAAAGTCGCTGGCTAAACATCAAACCACTGCAACTCCCAGGTTTTGCAAGATGTTGAGAGACCTATGGGAAGTGAAATGTAACGGTCTTCCTCCCACTGCTGATTTTACCTACTGTAAGTACTGAATACTAATTCTTATCTTGGCTCCCAGTTACCCATTTTTCAAAAACATATGCTATGAAAGTTTAAATTCACTTTGGCCTTAAATTTTATAATGATGTAAAATATAGTATTCCGGACTGTTTTTCCAAATAGAATCAGAAGCTTACTATAAAGTAACATCACTTACTATAAAGTAAAGTTGCTTACTATAAAGTAAAATCAAAGGCTTACTATAAAGTAAAATTGCCTTGCAAAGTGTAACATGTATTGCTGGAATTGTGACAAATTCATCTTGCTTGATTTTATTCACTTACAGGCATTCCATCAAGACCCATAACCCTTCAGAATTATAGAAAGACAAAAAGCCCTGTTCTATAGCCATCTTCTGGGATGGAATGCAAAGTATTTTGTTGTGGTAAGTAGGGCTTTGAAGAAGAAAGCGCTGGGCCCACTCCTGGGATTGTTACCCCAGTGCTCAGCATTCAAAACGGGAGCCCCAGGGTCTTGGAGATCATTTTAATCCTCCTATATTAAAACAAAACGTGTCTCCTGTGAGTCGTTCTTCCCACCCTCCTCCCCAGCTTCACTGACCCCCTCCCAAAGGAAACTGAACTCGACTACTGACCATTCCAAAAGAATTCCAAACAATTTCTTTATCTGCCTCTCTGTTACAGTGAAGATTTTGAGTCTAATTCTTAGAGACCACTACTAAAATTCCGCCCTGCTGAATTCTGCTGTCTAATTCTTTTGGCATTATGTTTTTTGGCAGAATGAATGTGACCCAAATTTGCAGATAATTTGCTGCAACAGTGCTTCTTGCAATGCAGTAAGCCCATGATTAGTATTTCAGGACTGCAAATATCAGACTTAAAAAAATAATAATTGTTTGCTTCAAGAAAGGACAGATTTCGATCTTGTATTATGAAAATGGAAATGCTTGGGAAAATGTGAACAATTTTATAAATTAAGGAAGTTTTACAGATCAATGAAAAATAATCAAGGACTAGAAATTTACTTCAGTACTTGCTGGCAAAATGCTATAGCAGTTCTTCAAGGATTAAGAAATTAGTTTTGTGTGTATGTAGTGTGTGACTGTGAAAACATGCATTCCATTTCCCATTAATGGTGGCTAATACTATTCGAAAAGGACATTTTCAGACAAGGGATGTCTTAAAAAAAAAAAAAAAACTATAACTATGGCTGTTCCTGTGTTTACCCACCATGCTTCTCACAAATGCTTAGCTGTGTGAGCAATGCTGGTTTGCATGTTGATATTTTCACCTTTTGTCAATATCAATCAACTTTAACACAAGGTGTCAAGAAACACTTGATGTTTTTCTTGACTAAGATTTGTGAGTACGATTTTGGAAAGAGCAATAGCAAAACTCCCACTGGGACCAAAAGTTAAACTGAGTGGACTAAAGCTTTCTGGCCATGCTTCTGTGGCTAGTTTCTTGGCTTTTGTAACAAATCTCTACCACTGATCTTTCACGGAGTCTAGTCTGTGCACTGCACTGCTGGAAAGACACTGTCGATTAGGATACCAGCTGTGATCACTGTGTCCTCATCAGATTCATTCACCCTCTCAGAATTCAAACACTAAGCCAAGAGAAACAGATTCGAAAGGGATTCCTTCTTCCAAAAGGTTAAGCATGACAGAGAAAGAGAACGGACAGAACAGAAAGAATAAAAACACACAAGTAAAAGGTGCGCAGTGTTTTCCACTAGTGCTAGGAGGCACATGCGCCCGTGGTCTGGTGAGGCCTGCGAGGCCGCGCTCCCTCACGCGCTCTTACCTTGTTTCTCTTGAAGTAGGCTCGCCGGCAGGCTGCAAAGCACTTCTCACTGCAGAAGCTTTTCACCTCACTTCCCATACTCAGGGAATAGCGCTTGATTCCCACTTTCTGGCACCAGGCACACATTATTTGTACATTTGACACATCATCTTCTATAATAAAAGTATAAGAAAAATGTTCATATCAGAAGCAAACATCCCTTCAAACGACGCACCCCGAACCTGACAGAGCTACTGAGGTCTGATTTTAGTTTCCAGAACATACCATTTTCCCACCAAGTAGGACAGGCAGCTCTTGGGGAGGAGCCTCAGTGCTTTTATTCTCTCTCTTTTCTTCTTCTCTCTCTTTTTTTTTTTTTTGCTCCTAAGTTTCCAAAAGTCATTTACTTAAAAACCAGAGCATGACTGCATAGCCACAAGGGTATCTAGGGCTTCTTAGTCTGGTAAAAATGTTTAACCTGCCTGGCTAAACCAGCCCCAGTACTAACGAAGCTTATAAAATGACCCATTTCTTCAAAGGTCCTGCTGAAAGTTTACAAGATCCACACTGGGTGGGACAATTTGGAGGGTGCTACCCTATAAATGTGATGCCCTCACATGAACCCTGACAGTGAGGGGCCAGGCTCAACCATGGCATGTTCCCTGTTATTGTTAAATGAAATGGGCTGCTGTTTACTCCTGCAGTGTAACGATTCCCAAGCAATGTGTTTAGTCAAAAAAAGGAAAGATGTGAGTGTCCAGATTCTGGCAATGGAAAAGGACAAGCCCAGCTCACTGAGCAGTCTCCTATGATGCAGCCTTCCGGCCCTGCTGTCCTCAGGGAGAGAAGGTCTGATTTAAATTCTCCTCCATGTGACGTGGTTCATGGTCCCTGGATGAAGAGATGGTAATGGGGGTATCAGATCATTCTCAGCTAGACTAGTAATCCTCTCAGCTCCTGGAGGGCTCATCACCCACATTGTGGGGATGCTCAGAATGATTTTAGGTGGTATGCAAATATTTCCACTATTTAAAATGCTGTATTTCTTTCCTTTGTATGAGAAGCAAATTTAACTAGCACAACAAGCCCATGATATCACAAATATTACTGCTTAAAACAAAGATAGGCTTTTAAAGTGAGTCAGTTAATAAAATATATTGAGTAAATCATAGTGCAGGTGGTAAGAAGTTGTGACAAAAATTATGATAGTGATATTCAAATGACTGCAGTTTGGTAAACATTGGCCTCTTTGTGGGGAAAATAAAAGAAGGCTTTAAGTAGAAGCCTAAGAAATATTTCTTTGCTGCTTCCTCGGGGTTTTTGCTATCTCTAGAGTTTTCTCTGTCCTCCCAATTGACTGTGTGTGCGTCTGTATGTGTGTGTGTGACTGATCACTATTAGTCTCATCTCTTCTTCCTTTATGGAATTTCTTTGTACTAACCCAGACTTATGCTCCAGACATGAATGATAATCACAAAATCCCAAACAAGCCCTGGTATAGTGTTGTCTAATTTCTGAATAAAATCCCCCAAACACTAATTGCTAAGCAAGTCCTGGTCCATGAGTTGTTGATATATTCATGGTTCATAGAATCTGTCATGCAATCATTCCATTTCCAGGAAAAAGATTTGGTTTGAGGCAGTGTGGTCATCAGCCTGCAAAATTAGAAGCAAACTAATTTGTAGTGCAGTGATATGGCTTTTTCCCCCTGAGTATCAACCTCAGAACTAAGTGTAGCATTTTATTTACCTTAATGGAAAAAAATATTGTCATTTTAATGCCCTTTTCTATTTCACAAATTATATATTGTGATCTAGTGTTAATTACCAAATGAGACAGTATAAAAAAATGACCTTAGATGTTAGTCAAACTTTTTTTTTTTTTTTTTTTTTTGGCAGCTGGCTGGTAAGGGGATCTAAACCCTTGACCTTGGTGTTACAAGGCTGTGCTCTCACAAACTTAGTCAAACATTTTTGATAACATAACTTTCTTTAAATGGAGTCATAAATTCAAATGTCAAACAACTATTGCATTTAATAATTTGTTAAATTCAAGAAAACTTTCATTTGTATTTTATATAATTTCTAATATGGCATCTGTCCACATATAGACATTTTACATGGTATGAAAAATCAACAAAGCTCTATAATTTACCTCAGCATATGGAGGCATCTTCTTAAATTAGGTTAGAAATAGCATATTTTTAAAATAATCATCTGTCATTACTAAACTAACTAATAGAACTAATTGTTTCTCTTTTTCCCAATCAATAAGATACTTAAAATCTTAAATTCCTGAAAAAGAAGATGTTACAGCAGAACTCCCACAAATGATAGGTTGGCAATAAGCTTGACTCTGGTGAAATCTGCAAGGAAAAAAATTTTATGGAGGAAATCAGTTGGCCTCACAGTTAAGAGGAGATACCGCTTCCCAAGGACCCATTTTAGAACATGCATTAGGTTCCCCTCGCTGTTTCTTCCTTTAAACAGTCTGGTTTGGGAAACAAAACATAACATTTTTTTTAAGTCTTAGATCTTTAACTAGAATGGACCAAAACTGAGACAAGAAAGGGGAGAAAACAAAACTGTCACAATGCCGGGCACTCAGCCTGCTGCTCAGGCCTGGCCTGGAGGAATGATGCTGGGGTCAAAGGGCAGCTCCCAGTAACATTTTTTTTAAGTCTTAGATCTTTAACTAGAATGGACCAAAACTGAGACAAGAAAGGGTAGAAAACAAAACTGTCACAATGCCGGGCACTCAGCCTGCTGCTCAGGCCTGGCCTGGAGGAATGATGCTGGGGTCAAAGGGCAGCTCCCAGGTCTTTCCCTGCTTCACTCCATCATCACCAGACAGACCCACAGTCATTTTTTAAAGGGAGGCAAAGATACTTTCTTACAATAGACCTAACAAATAAACAGAAAAGTAGAATTTTAAAACAGGTTAATTTTATAAACCATTCTTACTACAAAGTAACAATACGGGAAGATAAGACAAAAGAAATTATGCACTTTTGTATTTGGCAGTTGGATAACTCTTAGAATGGTGGTTAGCATCTGTCTACTTAAATAAATCAGTATTCCCATCCATTTTTCATAGAATTCTGTGTCACAAGAGCAAACACTTTGGAAAACGTCTGTCAGATTTTTCCTTTTCTGTCATCAAACTGTTATCAATAGCTAATGATCCAAAGAGGAGTCTGATAAGTGTGTTATTCCAAAAATTCAAGAAAACTTTTTCAGATACCTCAGGTATTCTAGACTTAAAAAAGTTATTTACATTAATATTTAAGAAACTAAAACAGAACTGTGATTATCTAAATTAATTTTGTCAGCATAGCTCAAAATTCTGCCACCAGACATGAGATGATGCTCCCATCTTAAACAGGATGACTGCACCCCTAGAAAAGTGAACTTTTAAGTGCTTAAAGCCAAAGGGATCAGTTCACTTCAGCAATCACATCTTTCTTCTACCTGAAACCCAGAAATGATGTGCATGCTTTACACTGGCAAAACAGAAGGACCCAGCACTTCAGCTTTTTTAACAGATCTGCTTTAAAAATATTTTATTTTAAAAATATTTCTTCAAACTAGGGAAAACCTGATTTCCTATCTTATATTTAGGCTAAAGGTCTGTGCCATTACAGACTTGAGATTACCTTAAAAAAGATTCACATCCAGATTTCTTATAGCCATCAGCCTGTGTATTTTGCATAACAAACAATGCAACAACAAATGCAAAATGTTTACAGCATTAAATCACATCCCCAAACAGTTCATATAACATGATAAAATTTTCACATGATAATATCATATAAATATGCATCAGTCAAACTATGCATGTTTCAATTAATCATGAAAAATTTGTACCACCTCTTTAGGATTTAATTAAGCAGAATGTTTAGGGCATTTTCTTTCCAATCTAATGTTCAAAGAGCTACAGAACATTTTTCTACTTTACATCCCAGAAGGGAAAGTTCAGATTAATTAACATGAAATCAAAATTGTATTTATTTATTATATGCACAGAAGTATGAGATCAAGCATTTCTGGAAGGCCCTGCTGAAGTTGTTTGAGAAATTGCCTTATCTGGTGACTTTTAAAAATAAGGATGGCAATGGTCAGTGATCTTCTTGGGGCATTTTAATTGGCTGTAAACATACATATTAGCTTACCTGACCAGAACCCCCCAAAAATCAGGACAGCTTTAAAGAACCCCAAGTAATTAAACAGTAGATTTACCACCTGTTTGTAAGTTTCATGGGAGTTCAAGACTGAGGAAAAATTCTGAAAGTATTTATGATGATGTTTATCTCCTCCAATAGTTCCTAGAATACACACATCCAGATAATCATTTCAAGATCTGAATTATATTTGAGTCAAGTTGCAAAGCAGTCTGAGGAGACTCCTGTGTTCTCTCCGTGCCATGAAATCAAAGTATGGCAAGGGCAGCACTATGTCAATTTATTTGTTGGTGCAGCTATATTTAAGAACAGAATAAAGACATGGCCTAGAAGGCAGCAAAAAAAAACCCAAAAAGCTAGAGTTAAAGTTTGCTTTCTTTGCAGTCCTTCTGCAGAGAGAGAAATTCTTTCTTGAAATAATTCAGTTCCAAAGACTTCAAGGCAATCCACATTAATTCTACAGAGTCCTCCAGGAGCTTCTGTACCATTCCCTGTGTTCTAAAAATAAACACACAAGGAGACCCAGAGAAAACTTGGACCACTGAGCCAAAATGAAAATAATCCTAGCTAGCTATTATTCAGTACCTAGGAGGAGCCAGGAGAGTACATGGTTAATTCCAACATCATTTAATCTTAATCACAACCACCAACAACCAGGCAGGTACTAATATTGTCCCCATTGTGCAGATGGGGAAAGTCCGTTTAGAGGTTAAGTAATCACACAGTGAGTACATATCAAAGCCTGGATGAGACTAGGCTATCTAACTCCAGAGCCCAAGCTCTTGACCACTACACCTTGGAGACCATGGCTTTTCTAATCATGTGAGATTGTACACCACAGAGACTTCCCTCCGCAAAAAGGACTAAAAGCTGTCATAGATTCTGCTACTTATACAGAATACTGCTCAGTAACACACCAATAGACAAAGAAAATGGAATCAAAAAGGTCAAAATGTCTTTGAGGAGATAGCTGAAGTGTTAATCAATAATTGT